AGGAAACTGCTCCTTTTCCACGAGGAAATTCCTCCCTCTCCATATGGATATTCCTCCCTCCCCATCAGGAAATTCCTCCGTTTCCATGAGGAAATTCCTCCCTCTCCATCAGGATATTCCTCCCTCGTCACAAGGAAATTCCTCCTTTTCTATGAGGAAATTCCTCCCTCTCCACCAGGAAATTCCTGTCTTTCCACCAGGAAATTCTGCTTTTTCCATTAGGAAATTCCTCTTTCCCCACAAGGAAATTCTCCTTTTCCACCAGGAAATTCCTGTCTTTCCACCAGGAAATTTTGCTTTTTCCATCAGGAAATTCCTCTTTCCCCACAAAGAAATTCTCCTTTTCCACCAGGAAATTCCTGTCTTTCCATCAGGGAATTCCTGTCTTTCCACCAGGAAGTTCTGCTTTTTCCATCAGGAAATTCCTCCCTTTCCATCAGGAAATTCCTCCTTTTCCACAAGGAAATTCCTCCATTTCCATTAAGAAATTCCTCCCTCCCCACAAGGAAACTCCTCCCTCTCTCCAAGGAAAATCCTTCCCTTTCCACCAGGAAATTCCTCCTTTTCCACAAGGAAATTCCTAGACTAAAAACTTCCTTGAAAAAAAAAATGGTTTGAAAGACTTTGCGGAAAAAAAATAATTGAGCTGAAAATCTTTCTGGAAAAATCTGGGCTGAAAAACTTCCTAGAAAATACTGGTTTGAAAGATTTTGTGTGGAAAAAAAATGGACTGAAAAACCTCCTGGAAAAAACTTGGTTTGATGAAGTTTGTGGAAAAAAACTCGTCTGAAAAACATCCTTGGGAAACCCAGCGTGAAAAACTTCATTAAAAAAAACCGGGCTGAAAAACTGTGGAAAACTTGGGGTAAAAGAGTATTTTTTTGCATTTTCAAAAATCTGGGCTGAAAAACTTCCTAGAAAAAACTGGTTTGAAAGATTTTGTGTGGAAAAAAAATGGGCTGAAAAACCTCCTGGAAAAAACTTGGTTTGATAAAGTTTGTGGAAAAAAACTCCTCTGGGGAAAAACTCCCTGGGGAAACCCAGCCTGAAAAACTTCATTAAAAAAAACCGGGCTGAAAAACTGTGGAAAACTTGGGGTAAAAGAGTATTTTTTTGCATTTTCCCAGACCTATTCCCCAGTATTCCCAACATTTCCCCCCAAGGGAAGCAGCAGCTCAGACCATAGAAGTAGATGGCGAAGATGCCCCCGTTGGCGCCGTCGCTGTGGAATTTCAGCAGGACCTGGTTGGAGGAGCTCTGGGCAGATTTCTTGGCTGAGTTGCCTGTGAACACCCCCAGCTGTGGGGCTGTTTGCTGGGGCCCGTCCCTGATGGCAGCAACACAAGGAAAATTGATTTTTACAAGGATTTAAGCCCAGGAACCCAACCTAGGCTTTCCTTTCCCTTCCCCAATGCATCCACATTTCAGACCCCTCGCTCCAGTTAAACCCCTACAACCTCTCCTTGCTCCCAGCTGGGCAATCAGAAACACAAATTTCACTTTTAACCTCAGAAACTGAGGAATTAGGAATTATTTCCCGAAGGAATTTCACTCCCTGTTTGCCCAGCCAAACACGGATTCTGAATATCCCCTCCAGAATACCAGGGGATATTCTGAAGGTCAGACTTTTGAGTGCTAAAAGCTCAAAATTTGGTCACAAACTCTTTCATCAGAGCTCCCCTGGTTGCCTGAAGTTGATAATCTCCATTCTTAATAAATAATACCAGGGGATATTCTGAAGGTCAGACTTTGAGTGCTACAAGCTCAAACTTTGGTCACAAACCCTTTAATCAGAGTGGCTACCTGAAGTTCATAATCTCCATTCTAAATAAATAATGGAGATTATCCATTATAAAGAATATTTTTATTTATTCATATTGAAAGAAAGCTCAAAAATTTTTTTAATTTCTCTTCTCCAAAACACCAGGAAGTCCCCAGCCTGCAAAGGGGATCCCAGGGGTCCCATTCCCAGTTGCTGCTGTTTCAAAGGCAGGATTATTTCCCAAAATGAGTCCTTGGGGTGACCCCCTGCACCCACCAGACAGTGATGAAGTCGTTGTAGGGCTCTGTCTGCAGCAGGGTGAAGTTCAGGTGGATCCCATAACCCACGGGCACTGTCAGCAGCCAGGTGCAATCCTGGGAGTTTGGGTACTGGTTGGGGAAGCCAGGAGAGTAAACTGTCCCATTCTGGGCTGTGACATTGCCCCCACAAGGCACTGCAGGGGAGCAGAGAGAAACACAAACCCAGTGAGGAAACATCCCCTTGAACATCCTTATATCCCATTTTTATTCCTTTTTTTTTTTTTTTTTTGTGGTACAAAGAAAACAATTCTGCGCACAGAAAAATCCAGATTTCGCCCTAACTTGCCTGAAATAATTCCTCTCTGCTGCAAGCACTGAAAGAGCAGCTGAGGATTCAGCTCTTTGTGTTCTCTGGGGTTCAAGGACTTACAAGAGGGCAAATATCACCTCTCTCCCTCCTTGCACAGCTCCTGCAGAGCCAGAGCTGGCATAAAGGTCAGCGCTCCTGGGAAATGGGCTGGGAAATCTTCAATAAAGCAGCTCTGAGCTTCTCAAAGGTTCACCTGAAACCCTTCTGGAAGTAAATCCCACAGAATTCCGGCCAGCAGCCCGAGGGGTGAAAGGCTGAAACAGCCATGAGGGGGTGGGAAATAAGAATTTGGATGAGTTTGGATGCCTGGACTGTGAATCCTCAGCCTGCAGAGTCCTCTGAGCACAGTTTGCAGAAAAAAAACACCTTGGAAGATTCCAAAGGATCTCCCACCTGGAGATGCCCATGAAGGAGACAGACAGGGACACACACACAGAGTCCTCAGAGCTGCAAGATTCTTTTATCAGTGATTATTTTTCTTTATCAGAGCTAAACCAATGGAAGCTGGATGTTGTTGAGGGAACAAAGCAGCAAGGAATTATCACTCCAAGGCCCCTGGACTGTGCCACACAGCAGTAACAGCTCCAGCAGGAAGGTGAGAGACACAGCAATAACAGCTCCAGCAGGAAGGTGAGAGACACAAATTCTCCTTACCCACACCACAGGACTCAAACCCCTCGAAACACCCCAAATATTCACCAAAACACCTCATGGAGCCCACAATTTCCTCCAAGAGCTCATTCCCAGCCACACCTTTGCTCCCAGAGCAATCCCAGCCCATCCCAAGGAGCCCAGGTGAGCCCAGGCCGTACCTTCACACCTGGGCAGGGGGTGGTCCCAGTTCCTTTTGGTGCTCAAGATTCCCCAAGACCCCCATCAGAAGCTGCCAAAACACCCCAAATATTCACCAGAACACCTCATGGATCCCTCCAAGAGCTCATTC